CCCCTAGCTTCCTGGCAGCCAAACTGAGTCCAAGGACTTAAAGCCAAAGCTTCATGTGGAAACAAGTACTCACTAAATGAATCAATCCGCATCTTTATTGTCTGTCCTTCTGAGGTGCTGTCGAGCCTGCTGCCAAGCTTGACGCATCCATAGTGGAATCTTCGACCAAACAAACGGCGCGCAAAAACCTGAAAGTGGTGGGATGAGCTGATGAACTAGGCTAAAGTTACAAAATTTGTTACAAAAGCATACAAACTTGTCCGACTTGTCCAAAGGCCGTTGAACTGGCATTGGGCAGCAAACTACAGTACAGTACATTGCACTCCTCGTTCTGCCATCATGGACCCCATTGGAATCCATTGATACTTGCCACGCCACCAACCAACCACGCCGCCACGCGCAACAGCACCACAACAACGTATGCAAGAATTGCCAGCATCAACAGGCGCTCCTGCAGTTCACCTTTGCTTTTGCAGACTTTCAGCAGGCCAACAACAAGCGTCTACTAGTAACACGGGCATCGCTACTAGTAGCTTCTTGTTACTAGTAGCGATGCCCTTGTTACTAGCCAATTCTGTGGCCAAAAGAGCTGTGAACCTCTCTTGTCGCCAGAGTTACGGCTCCAGATTTTGTAAAGAAGTTGAAGAGCGCAAAGTCGCAAAAGCAATCCAAAATAAGGTGATGAGTCAGCCTTGCGCATGTCGCAGCTTGGAAACTACATACAACAACTAGCTGAGTAGGCCAATTAGGTTTTATAAATGAACGTTTGTGGACGTTGGCAATTAGCAAACACTTCGGTAGCACACACAAAACATCGCGACTGCATCCATGCAATACCTTTGCCTTGGTAGATTCAGTCTCGAAGTTCGAGAAAGCAAACATTTCCAAAGTAACAATACAACGTCAATTTGATGAGCAGCTGCAGCTATATACATCCCTATACCATCCTCATATAATCCCAAAGTTGATCAGTTGTAGTTTGTAGAATGGCAACGATTGGCAGTGTCAGTGCTTTCAGCTAATTTGCGTAGTTTTAGTGCTGCTCCTCCACTTCCCAAGGGTCCAAGGGCCCTCCGAACAAGGGTCCTTCCCAAGTATTCTGTGGATAGTACATCTGTTGCAGGTGACTTTCAGAACCTTTGCCAGCGAGGATCAATTGGCCTGCGGGACCTTTTTAATGGACGGTAAAATCAACCAAAGAACACCTACCGTGTTTTTCCGGTGAGTTGGTCCAGTCTTCGCCGTGTCCGCCTCACTGCTAAATTCTTGATAAGGCTTCAGCATGAACCAAACCAAGGCCATAGCCCCTCGGAACAAAGATGGAAGATCTCGAAGCAAATCCTTCCAGCCACTGTAGGGTCGAAGCCTTAGGTCAGGACAAAGGTTTCAAAAGCTGCGAGTCTCGGAGATATACCCGGGAAGATCAACATGGAAGCTAAAAATGGACCTTTGGAAGACTATGTTCCTCTACAACCCAGCGGTTTTTGGGTTCCATGTTGATCTTCTAGGGCATACCCCCCCAGTTGTTTTGTGTTTAAAACACGCCTTAGAGTATCACTGATGAGCCCGTTGTTGTGCCAAAAACCTTCAACAATCATATACCCTGGCCGTGGCCGTAGGTCAAAAGAACACATCCAATAAATCAATGTTTGAAAGAACACACACATATATATATATATAAATAACACAAATTATGTATACTAACACAAGAACTTGGGTCTGTAACATGGGATTTCTGGTATATTATCGCGAAGCAGCCCAAGCAACACGTGCACCTTAAGCTGGCCCTCAGGATTCACCGATGATTCGAGGGGAATGGGGACCATGCCAAGGGATCAGCCAAAGCCACGAACACTTTGCGAGCCAGGTGGCGGACCAAGAAAATGCCTTTGTTCCCAGTGATCCTGCCACAAAACCCACGAAGACAACGTTCTCTTTTTTACATCCCCGTTATAGTGGATTGAGAGTATGGCGCAATCCCCAATGTCGGTGGTTTATATGTATCCCCATCTAAAACACATCTTGGGGGGTGCGCCATCTACTCTGAAGCCACTGTAAATATTACATATTAAAGCCACATCCTCTATATCATGATATCATTACGTGAGATCACTGTGGATCATGGTCGTTGTATGCTCAACCTCCACATCAAGTTCCATCTATGCATCCGATGCATCCATATCAAGAACCTTTGACATGAAACGAGGTCCACACATATTCCACTTTTCAAGTCACTCGATCCGCGACTCCCCCACTCGATGAAGAAGAATATCCCAGTTCTCGTCCTCGATCCGCGGTGAAGGATGACGAGCTGATGTGAGGATGGTTGCGTGGTAGCTCTTGCCTTCCATCAGTCCTTTTCGCACTTCATCTCCAGCATCTTTGTCAATGAAGGCCTCCAAAGGTGCCTGTGGCTGTTCCTCTGGTTGTTCTCTTTCCACGGCTTCATCCATGTAGAGCCAATGGCACAAAGGCAACTTCCGGATCAAGACCCTACAACGGTGATGGTTCTGACCAGATAAAACCTCGAGAATCATATAGGTCTCACAAAGGAGCCGCGAGAAAATCAAGCGCATGATGGTCATCTTGACCTGGTAGAGGGGGATGGAAATGATCATTGCCTGAGATGGGTTCGGACAGGGTCTGCCTCGAACCTCTCTCCCTCCCTCCCTCCCTCCCTCTCTCTCTCTCTTTGTTTCTGTTCTAATTATTGCCCTCTCCTCATGCAATTGCACCAGAATTGCACAACAGCCTCATGAAGTCATGAAGTGGTGTGGATGTCTAAAGTGTTTCCGCGTCCAACAGTCTCGACGTCTGCGCTCTAAAACGGCGAACCATGCTCTTTAGTTCCGAAGGGCTGCAAGGTTTATTTTGACGCGCCCTACTCACTTTGATACATCATGATGGACACAAAGCTTACAATTGCCAAAGCATGCTGAGCGTGTATCCTGCCACAGCTGAAAGCCTTCCTTCATTGAATCATGCAATTGCTTTACGCTGGTAAACCGTTACAGGGAGCTCGTGTCATTGCATGCGCCAGGTTTGCTCCACGGTAAGTCACTTGCAAGAAGAGCAACTCACTCCGCGTTTTGCAATCCAAGTTTCAGAGTTTGGCATTCACCTTTGCACGCATAGATGGCAAATCCTCTTAAACCTCTTGCGAGACTGTTTTCGGACACTGCAGGGCCCATGCAATCCTCCACGCTGCAACGTCAGGCGCACATCAACATTTGTTTTCTTCTTGCAGCGAACCGCAATTTGAGCGCAAACACACCACCATCCCACATCCCAATTGAAATGCTCTATTTTATGACAGTGAATCGCTGATCACTGATGACAATGATGATTCCGACTGAAGATTTTCCGAAATCGATGTGCTGAGGCTGAGGATGGGACTTGTGCGAAAGCGTCCCGTGTTGACCCAACATGCTCGCATATTCAATACGCACAGGTACACCAATACACAGCAAACATGGCAATGATACAAAATCTCATCAAACATATATTGTACGTGCTCTTAGATCGCGATCAAGTGGCCCAAAAAAGAGACATGATGTACACCTCGAAGGCTGCAAAGTTGTAGTAGAAGGCCGTCAGTACCAGGCCACCCGCCACATGAACCACGAGAAAGATGAAGGCTAAGCGAGCAAAGGCCTAGCCGGGCTACCCCGGAATGTTGGGCAATCCTATGCCTGTCAACGAATGGGGCCTGGAATGTTCCAATATTACTATTGATTGTTATAGTGGGTTGAAGAGTAGATGATACAATCCCCAAAAGGTGGTTTATATGGACCCCTATATACAAGACATCTTGGGGTCTGTGCCATCTACTCTGAAACCACTGTAATCACTACGAACATCTGATTCCGAATGTGCACAAAGATTTCATGTGCATCATGAATCTCTGTCGTTGGGGGTTGTGCGTGGACAAACCGATGCGTATGTCGGTGCCAGCGTCGCGTCACAGAAGTTCCATCAGCCAAGCCTGATCGCTGGACACCAGGCCTGATTGGCCCCCAAAGTTCCTTTGCTGGAATCGAACAAATGTAACCTGCTTGCCGGTTGCATGACGCACTGGTGCGAATGTGAGCTGTGCAATCCAAGATTCCCCATTGATGAGAAAAAACCTTCAAGATTTTGGCTCTCGGAGGAGTCCAAGCGCTTCAATCCCTTGTGAATCTCACGACCTTCTTGGATGAAGTTCGCATGATTCTCCTGACTCACCATGGACCATCACTGAGAGTTTTACATACATAATATATAAATGTAGCATCTGGCCGCTTTTCTCGTGTGGGGCTCAATGAGCAGAATCGGTCAGCAGAATGGAAGGATTGTTGGTTCATGACATACATACGGCTCCTCGAATCGATTGAGAAACTCGAGGTGCTGCTGGTTGAGACGCTCTTCTCTTTCGGAAAGCTGCGACAAACCTGGCAGAACTCCACACACTTTCAAAAAAGAACAACAACATCTGTGACATTGTTTGTCTCGTCGCCTCTGCGCAACTCGCCAAGCTGTTCTGCCATCGTCCCCTCTGTGGCCATGTGCTTCGCACCCAACTCTTCGGAGGAGCTCATGGCGCGAAGCAAACCGCCCAGTCGGGTAGCAACCAGGTCAGCAGTTCTTGAAGTCGCATGGAGTCTCTCTCACCCTCTCTGTCAACAGGTAATCAGATGTATAATCAGTATTGATGTATATATATATATATTGATGTAACTATATACTGGGATGTTCAAACTGTCACGTGTTTCATGAAAGTCGGTTAGTTTGGGAATTGAACAAAACATATCAACATCACTGAATGTCCAGTGCGATTCTTTGTGCACAAACCCGCTTTGTCTGTCATCGTTGCCCACCAGCCAAATGTATGTGTGCGTGTCATCAGAGTAGGCAAACCAAGTCAACAGTCAACACGCAAGGTGCAAACTAGTCAAGCTGGTTGGTGTGTTCATGTACAACATTGTACAACCGTCTTTCCCGTATGGCAATGGCATATGGTCCTGAGCGAAGGCAAGCAGTCCCTGGCATGCCGGGATGCCCAAAGAACCATGCATGCATGAAGTTCGGGAAATGACTTCAACAACATCTGAGACTATATAAAGGAATCTAACGGATGTCCTGCCTTTAAGGTCGGCTTAAGGCTTAGGAACATGAGAAAGACAAAGAAACCAATATGTTTACATATTTTTACATTCCGATACATTGGGGCAACCTCATTTTGATCTACTTTGCAAAGAGGACATTGCAGTCCTTCAAGTTACCCAAGACTGAGACCGGCTCGGTCTGCGGGGTCCTGACGTTGCCGCAGGATGTGGGACGTTGCCGTTAAAAACGAGGATTGAACTTCCTTAAACCACATGTGACACGCCAAGAAGCCTCTCCTGAAACAAATCCTCGTGTGGGGGATCTTGGGTGAAGATAGGGGTTGCGTCTCAATCTTGCTGCAATATTGGGTTCCCTCTCTGGAATGCACAGTTTTGAAAGGAACTCTTGGCTGTCAGTGTGCATAAACCCGTTATCAAGTGACTGGGACAATCATGTTCAAAGGCACCCCCCTCACACTCACACAAAAAGCAACATATCCCCTTGGCCAGTACCCCAATTCTTCATCGTTGTAGACCTCCTCGCACCCGCTTAGTGTCCGAACAACGGCGACGCCAACGCCAACGCCAAACGATTCTGAGGAGCATCTTGATGATCACCCTGTCACCACGAATCGTCTACCACTGAGTCACCTCCAAAAGTCCTTATAGTTCTGCTGCCCTCGCCTTCCAGTCCCATGGCGGGACAACGAACTCCAGTTATGGCGTTCCTATCGAGAAGCTTAGGTGCGTTCCCAAGGCCTCCTGACCGCCTGTTCTTCGCGAGCTTCGCGACATCGAACTCCGGCCCGAATTCTGACTCCTGCGTGGTGTAGTCGACCTGCCAGGCCTTTCTTCAGCCGTCCCAGCATGAGGGTCCGGAGTGGTGTCCTTGACCTCCTGAGGAAGCTCGAATGATTAGAACATATTAGTAAGCGCCCGCATGGGTACATGATGTACACACCCGAAAACTGACATGGACCCTGAGAATGGGACGCGGAAAGACGGTTTCCTCTAATTACAAAAAGGGTCCGTGTTATTTTTCCACGGGGTAAATGTTGCAGGTCATCAAACATGTGGTGCTTTGTTGTGGAGGTGCGCATCAAAATGCGGAGGCATATATGGTGTGTATACACTTTGTCTTCCAGGCATTTCCATGCCGCATTTCTAAGTGCATGGGCATTATGCCAAGCACCTCCGTCTGTATCTTTCTCCTCGCATGGCTCGCCGCTGCTCCGCACGAGGTCAGGAAAAGGAAATGGATGTACATTGCAACCTTCCACGCAAGGAGGGCCATAGAAGACAGCTGTGCCCCTGTACGTGGCGGTAAGCAAGTCTGTTGACGACAGTATGGACCGCCTGGTCCACCTTGTGATGATCTCTGTCCACCTCCCAAAGCACCTCTGCAAACACCTGCACCTACGTCCCTTGATTCCTCAATCAGCTCATCCTCATTCTGGATGCTTTGCCTCAACTCCTTCTTCATCAGAGCCGGCTGCAACTTGCAGTGTCTTTATTGAAGCCTAAACCTGGGTCCATGTTCTCAGCCACGAAGACCTTCAAGTTGTTGGCATCTTCGTGATTGAGGTGCGAGATATTGTTGTGACTGTGTTGCGGACTTTCTTGATATAACGGCATGAAACAGCCGTTGCCCTGTCTCAGAGCGATAGTCGATGAAGTGCTTGGCCTTCCACTCTTTGTACCATCACTTCCGTGCTTCTGGTGCAAAGTGGATGCGGCCTCACCCTAGTGTGTGGTAAACTAAGAGCACCTGGACATGACTCATTTGCACTCACGATGGGGTAAGACTTGTTGCCTGGTCTCAGCAAGTAGGGCCAGGCACTGAGCGTCTGCCAAAACGTAGTCAAGATCTGTCAAGTAGAGAACATGAATCAGCAAGCTTAACGGTTATCACTTTTGCAGGTTTGGGCCCAACTCCTGAAAATCACGACCGCTCTTTACACGTTTAGGGGGTTGCTCATCTGACCATCTCCGTGCAGAATGCGTGCAACATGGCCTTTAGGTGCCCCCACTCCCTTCTTTTCTTTCCGCTTGGCTGCCCGTTGTCGAGCCTCACTGCAGCCAGCATATTGAGATGCACATGCAGGATCTGGTTGTCTAATAAAGTACGATACAGTAGGCAGCATCATCAACAAGGTATATGTTTGTCTCAAATGATGATTTGAGAACTGTTGCCCTGATCAACAACCTGTAGGTGGAAACACATGAAAACAAACTGAACTAAGATGCCCACTCCTCCAGGAGTTTGACCACCTGGCAATTCATTCTCACCTGGTGAGAATAACCCGTGGACCGTGGACCCCCCAACCTCTCCGCATTCGTCCAAGAACGCCCCCATCCATGCGCTCCTTCCTCAGTTCGCTGTGTCAGTGTTCGTGGAGTCCGATCCCAAGATATCTGACGAGTGCTGCACTGCTGCATTGTGTGCTGAGCATCCCAGCTCTTGGGCAATGATCGTCTTCGCTTCTTCCTGCCGTCGGGCCAATTTCTCCTCCTTGGACAGTCTGCCGCATCTGCATCATCGATGACTCGATGACCCTGCCCCCGTACCCGAACTCGCCCCAAGCAAGTCTCCCCTCATCTCCCCTCTTTCTTTCTCTTCAATCTCAAGTCATACTGCAGGTGTCCACTCACGATACCATACGATATCTCACGATCACATCAACACCTCCCGACAGCACACCCTATGCTTGGCTAAGTTGCTGTGTCACTGTCTCCATAGATGTTGTATTCTTCGCCTGGCCAAATTTGTGGTGCCAAGCAATGCCGAGCCACCGAGCGATTATGACATCCTTTGCGAAAGCAGGCCGGAAGGCTGGTGCCCTCGTCTATGACTTCCTGACAGTCGGCTCTGTTTACACTCTGTCCTGCTTCAACGCGCAACATTGACTCAGTCCTGGCCCAGCTTGAACAAGTCCTAGCGCATGTGCGGTTACTCAGTATATAGTGCGGAGTGCGAAAACAAAGCGAAAGCAGCGAAGCGTGCGTGCGCGGCCGATGCAAGTCTTTTGCACAAAGCGAGCCAGTACTGACTGCGGTCGTGACGGCAGTCACTAGTTCATGGCACTGCATGCCAAAAGCGTGCACCGACCACCAACTCTCACATCCCAAAGGGAGAGTGTTGGCATGCAGTCGAATTAAGCTGCGGCTCCGCCGGCTTTGGCTCTGCCAAATTTGATCTTCCGGCGCTGCCGTTGATCCTTACGCAGGCGCTGCCTGTGTTCCTCCAACCGCCGTTCTGCTTCTGTCTGCTTTAGCGACAGGCGGTTGTTTTGGCAGAACGTCTCCCAGAGCGTCGCCTTCATGCGCTTCGTGAGCACATCTGCCTGCTGCTGGTGGGTCGGAACCCAGAACAGTTGGTATGCCTTCTGCTCCAACATGTCCTTGGCCACGAGGAGGTCAAGCATAGTCTGCCTCTCGCTTGGTACGTGGCCCGTTGTGTGGACATGGTCGTACAGGCTCTTGGCGTCTGTGACCAGGCCGCCTTCATGGCGAAGCTTGGACCTCCAGTCCTCTGAAGGTGAGGTGACATCACCAAACCACAACATGTCCAGTAGAGCCCTCAAATAGAGGTGCTTATCCACTGCCAGGGACATGCTGTTGCTTTCCGCCGCCATTGAGCTTCTCACCACCCTGGTGCTCCTTGAAGTGTGAAACTCCAGCGGGGCTGCCAGCTGTGGACCTTCCTTCACTCCATCCGTTGTGAGGAAGTGTATCGATCCCAGCTGGGACCGGCCATCGGTCTCCTTTCCCAAGGAGGCGTCGAAGAAGCTCAAAACATACGGCCTCCCACGATTAGTGGGATAGCGCAGCTTGGCCCTGCCAGCTTTCTCTTCTTCCAGGAAGTTCTGGTGCAGCTTCACAGCTTCCTGAAAATCCTTGTATGTGGCCTGGTTGACTCTCTGAGCCAAGGAACTGATTTCATACAGCTTGTGAGGCATTGCCAACTGAGCCGGCCATCGAAGTCGCATGGTCAACTGGCGGTATTGCGTCGTGCTCTGCGTGTCCAGAGGCTCATCCGGCTTCTTCTTCTGCATCTCAGGGACCTTGATGTTCCGAATGTAGGCTCCCATATTATCGCAGAGGCCCCCTTTCTCAGCCTTCTCCAGATCTACTCCCAAAAAGGTCAAGGGAGTCTCCTTCCACTCCTTGATCTTGAAGAGCTTGTTCAGCTGTGCCTTCAACTTGACAAATCGACTGTCATTTGGATCTCCCAAAAGGAGTCCATCGTCGACGTGGAGGCACAGGATCGCCCAGCTGATGCCGCCTTCACTGGCCGCAAATGTGGCCTTGGCAATCGGGAGCTCTTTCAGCGGCGTCTGGCTAATCAGTTGCACCGCCCGAAGGTACCAAAGCCTCGGAGCTTCCGTATAGGCCATATGCGCTCTTGAGGATGCGCAGGAGTTCAAAGGGCAAGATGGCACTCCAGCCCTCAGCGGCTGGCAAACCCTCAGCTGGGGCCTTCACGTAGATCTGACGATCTGTCTCCAGGCCCGACAAAAATGCCGTCGTGACATCGGCTGATCATGATCTGAATTGGCTGATGGCCTTGGCCATCCTCACAGAGACCAAACTGGTCGTGGGCGCGTCCGTCCTGAAAAGGCCCAGATGCGGGTCCCGATGACCCGGGATCACCAGCCTGCTTTTGGCCAGAAGAGGAAGCAGCATCTTCTGCTGCTTGTTCACCCGCACCATCCGCATGGGGCTTTTGAACACCGCCTCTCGAGGCACTTTTCTCTGCTCGTCGGGGCTCAGTCTTTTGATCACTCCATTCTGTATCCACTGAGCACACTCTTTCTTGTCCGCCTCTGCGAACTTGGACCGTTCCTCCTCGCTGAAGAATCTCGGGTCCAGCTCTTTTCCACTGGCCTTCATGCGAAGCAACATCACTTCGCTCATCAACACATCCTTCATCTCGGCCAGCCATTCTCGTTCAAAAAGCTTCCGTTGGCGTGAACTCCAGCACACCTCATAGATCTCCCCATCTTTCTCAACATAGCTTCGGACTTTCTCTCCTTTCTTCTTTGGAGCTTCCTTGTAGTACATTGTGATCCCCTTCCAGGGGAACCCCGCTTTGCGAGGCGGGTGTTGTCGCACCTCCTCGGTGTTTTCTTCAACCACAAAAGCATTTCGCGGATCCTTCCCCAGCAAAATGCTGAGTCGCGCTCTGCTGGCCATCTTAGGCGGCCGCGCTAGCCGCTTGCGGGGCTGCCGGTGCAACCGGGCTGCCGTAATGGGGAGCCCCGTGAGTTCCCGTAGCAGCGAGAGCTCATAGCGGGAAACCCACTCATTTGCCTTCTCTTCTTCTTCGGTGACCAGCGTGCTCAGCATCACCTGAGTCACCAGGTCTTGAGACACTCTGGCTCTCTTGTTCGGTGGTGCAACCCCCGTATCATCATCATCTTCATGCAGCCGCTTCCGAATGGAAATTGGTAGATCATCCAGGAGATGGCGCTGCCTCTCCTCCGTGGTTCGCTGTCTTAGCAGCTGCTGAAAATCCTCGTCCCTTGGTGCCACTGCTTCTTCTCGATTGGGCTCATCATCAAATTCATCCATTGGCACAGGGACATCCTCTGGTCTCACCTCCCGTGCAGGAGGTGGCAAAGCCAACGGCGCAGCCGGGCGTACTGGTTCTGGCGCCGCCAGGGGCATCTGATCGCCAGCAGCAGGTGGACTTGGTAATGCCCTTCTTCGCTTCGGGCTCGGCGCTGCCGGCATGCGAGCATCTGCCAACGCTCTCCTCCTCCGAAGCATCTGGGCGGCTCGCTGAACCTGGTCCTTCAAAAGGTTCCTCACCGTCCTTGAGCCTCTCATCATCAAGCGTGCTCGCTTGCTCTCTTCTGGCTCAGGCGGTCTTGTCGATGCATCCACTGCCGCCCGTCTGGGTCTCTTGCGTGGTGGAGGAGGCTGTGGTCGTAGCTCCTTGTACACGTTCTGTCGGCCTCCATCCCTGAGCCTATCGCCGACACCATCCATTTCCTCACGAACAGGCTCCGTCAGCGCCAGCTCTTCTCTCGTTGCTAGCCTCATGTTTTCTTCCGCCAGCAACAGAAGCCGTCCACGCCAAGAGACAAAATACTTCTTGGGCTTCTGCCTGATGAGGACAGTGGCTGGGCCGCGCCATGCACCACCCTTCTTGTAGCGCACCCCCTTTTGTGTGCTAGGTGTCCAAAAATAGACTTGTGCACCAGGAATGAAAGGTCCAGAGTGGGAAACAGCCGGCTTCCGCAAAACGGCTCTCCGCACCTTCTCTCGTACATCATTCCTCAAGAGGGCAATCCGTGCAGTTGTCCGCATCTTATGCGCTCGGGACACCTCACTGTCTACAGAGACGCCCTCTGCAAAGGACATCTTGGGGTCCTCATCGTTCAAGGATGGCCACCGGGTCTCATACCCGAACACTCGTTGGTTTGGCGTGTAGCCATCCTTTGTGAGCGTGCCATTCTTGGCGGCTACTGTCGCAGCCAGTCCTTCTTTGAGGCCCTTATAGCCTTGCAGACTGTGTTCCTGCACCACGGCATCGAGCATATCTCCAAGGAGGCCTCCATGCCTCTCTCCAGCTGCCAGCTGCCATCCGGCATGAGCAGCGGTCACCTCACTCGGGATGCTAAGCTGCTCCAAGTAAAGGGTGAAGGTCCGCTCGAATTCTCCTCCTTGGTCTGTTGTGACCTTTCCAGGGACTCCGTACAAGGAGATCCAGTGTCGGAAGAATTTCTTGGCGATGTAAGTGCTCTGCTTGGACTTGACCATCACCGCATCGTGCTTGACCGTCCCCAAGTCCAGCATTGACAAACATGTGTACTTTTTCTTGCGGCAATCGTACACATACTTGAGGTCCAAGTGCACGTGGTGATTGAACCCATAAGGCCTCACACTCGGCGCAGCCGCTTGAGGGTGTCGTGGAGCCGCCCGCTGGGCGCAGACATCACATGTCCATCTTCTCGCCCACCTTTGGGCATCTTCTGTTGCTCCACCTTCAACATTCTCACCAAGGTGCTTCTGGAAGGGTGCCCCAATTGTCGATGGGCAAATTCCACTGCCTTCCGCACCTCCATGGGAACCGGATGGCGCTGCCCCTCCTCCGGCTCCTCATCTTCTTCTTTTAGGAGCCCTGTCATCTTCTCTTCTTCTTCGATGGCTTCTTCTCCTGCCTGGAGGTCACCATCTGACATAGCTCCCTCATCACCATCGTCCTCAACGAAGGTGCCTTTGTGCGCTGCACGAGCTCGAAGAAAATCCTCGGCTCCATCCATGATGGCATGGCACAGAGGAATAGGGTATCCTCCTGCCCATTCACTCAGTGAGCGCCACTTGCCATCAGCTCCTTTGAACTTCCCTTCTATAGGCCAGTGCTCATGGCTGTGGTCACACTTTTTCTGGAGATACCGCACCACTTCTTCTTGTCCTTGAAAACGGGTGCGCTTTCTCATAGGTGCACCCTACTGGATGCTTCAAGCCATACTGGCATTGGTCAGCGACTCCCTCAAAGCAGCCATGAAATGCATCCAGAATCTCCGGTGTCTGCCATGCACGGCTGTTGAAGGGATTCTCACCCAATACTGCTTTGTGCCTCCGGCGCTGCCAGAGTATTGCACGTCTTGTGAACTGCAGGAAGACTTTGCGGGACTCTAGCTGCTTTGCATGCAGCGCCGCTTTCTGCTGCGGTGTCTTCTGGTTGAGGTGCTGTAGCTGAGTCCACGGCCCGCAAGGCCAGGCCACAACCAGTAGATCAGGCTCTGCCTGTTGGATATACCGCATAGCTTCTTCCTGCACAGCCGGACTCCTGATGTCCCAGCCAGGCAGCGTCACTGGCTCCAAGAAGGTCCATCCTCGGCTGAATGCGATCTGGCTGACCATACACGACCATGTAAAGATCTCCAGGATCCGCCAACGTTGTCTCTTCGGTGGTCGAGGGAT